GAATTAAAATTTTCATTAATTTTTTTGACTTAATAAATATTCACATCCATTTGCCCACCTACTACTTCAAACTTTTACTGTGTATATGTTTTTTTAGTCCTGCAATGGCTCGAGCATCTCACTTGTGCGTTTCTCTTCCTATTATCATTACATTATGATGAGAAATGTTCACTTGTGTTGCTTTTTATCCTTTTTTAAAATGTCACTTTATCTCTATCTACCTTAAACCTTCTATATTAATTTTTTAAATGTTCTCTTCCTTTTTAGTTTGATTCTCCACAGGGTCCTCCGACAGATGACTTGCCCACTTCATCGTTATCTCCTTCAGCTGACCATTTAAATCTATCCGTTCCTACAGATAGCTGTTCTACCACTTTTCCTGCCACTAATAAATCTCCCCCTTCCGGTATTTCTTCTACTACAGCGAGCATTTCTGCAAATCTTGCTCCTGCTTCCGTAGCAGACTCTCAAGATCGGTTGAATAATCCCAAAATCGTATCAACGCCTTCTCAAGCGATCCAAGCCACGTTATCATCGCCCTCGCCTCCACTACCACTTTTGCCACCGTTGCCCCCAACAATTCACTCGTTACGAACCAAAACACCAGTATTCCGGCTTAAATCAAATCAACGAGAACATCGAGAAAATGAGAAAATGCATGGAGGTCAAAAGAGACAAGAGGACAAGGCAAATGTTGAAGAGACTTCAAATGGACTAAGGCAGAAAGTAGAGTTAGAAGCTCTGGATTCCAGTGAGGCTTCTTCCCTAACATGCAATGGTCTCTTAATACTGCGTGGCATCTCAGCTTCTTCAGCCAGAACTTCCATGAACCGACACAATGAGGGGGCTTCTCGTCCTTCCTGTCAAGGTATGTGGCTGAGGTAGGCACCCATATAATCTAGACTTACACTTTGATTGCTTCATATCTCTTCCAAGCACAATCACAGTGAAAATTAGAAGTAATGCCACTTCGACTTATGAATTGTGCCAAGGCTTTGCAATCAAGTTGGAGAACTATGGCAGCCTCATATTTAACTATTTTGTCGTTGATTTATGCTATTTCTGCGTATTCTTCACTAGGTTTATCATCAGATGATTTTTATACGCTGCATGCATGTCTACCCTTAGCATTTCAATATAAGTCAAAATGAGCAGAAAGGTTAGCTTAACTGAGCCACTAAAACCCAATAATATTTTAAGGGTTTGCTTATTAGTAGGTTTTCAATATCACCAAAAAGTTATGTATATATGAAATGTATTCACCATATTTGGTTTACGGTGTTGAAGGACTATTAGTTGCGCTTTTCCACAATGATATGATCAGGTCTTACGGTTCGATTGAGTTTCAATTAATCTCGCCTCCTAAAAGCAGTTTTTATTCACGCTGGACTGGACAGCAGTCTCGACTTCACCTTGGTTCCACCAGTACCCCTAGCGGTTACGGCACTACCACAACCCAGGATACTGCTGAATATTGCCTATAATCTTGATTTTATTTGATTCCAGAAGTGGTGCATGATATTCTTAGCTTATCTGTTTGGTGCCTTGGATATGAGTGTATGTTTCAATTTCAGGTTTGCCTTTCTTCATTTCATCCTTCACATTTTCAACTATAACACTTGTTTGTACTTAACGTTGAAATAATTATAATCATAAGTTTTGTTACTACGCTGCTGTGAAGCCCCGAATCCGTTATGCGTATTTACCTCCTGATAATATGGTCTTCGAATATTTATCTCGCTTATTTGTACAAATTATTAAGATAAAAACCCGATAATTCTGTATAAACATCACGAATTGTATATATATTGCTAATATATCAAAGAAATTATCCTCAAGAGTCAATAATGAGGCTTGGCATTCTAAATTGCAATGTGTTCCAATTGCCTGACTTCGTTTTTACAACGTAGTCGTGTTGTTAGGGTGACCTAGTTAGACGCACATTGTCTGAAGTCCTCTGCTATAGCAGTTATTATGATTCTAAGCATTGGACCTTCGGCTCGGGGCATTCCCAGACGTTTCTCCTGCAACGTAGTCGGCATCGTCAATGCGTCTTGTCCTCCTTGGAACCAAGCTACAAATTGTCAAAGAGACAGGTGAAGTCGATCTCTTGATAAACTTTCTGCTACAACATCTTGGTCTTCATATCTGCATTTAATTTAATTGGAAACTTGAAAGTTAGACCTAGAACTTGGCGCTTAGAAAATAAACTGTTAAACCCACCTTATCAGTAGTAACTTATACATGCAAAAGGTTAAAATGGTTGGTGTCTCACTGAGTTTATTCCGCTTAATCAATGACGGCATCTTCTAAAATAATCTGGTTTCGAATAACTTCAAAAAGCAATATTATTTTTGAAATACTGACATATCTTTCATTTATTTTGAGAAGACTATATGCTCAGCCACCTCCGATTTCTTAATCCATAAACCTTCGCAGGCGGTTTTGTGTTCTAATAGCCTCTTATGTATGTGTCGACAAGTCTCCCCCACATAAACACCACCACATGAGCACAATACTTTATAACAACCTGATCTGAAGAGGTCTGAAGATTATCTTAAAGAAGGCATGACCGAGGAAAGCGCTATTGTTTATTTATAAATTTTTTTAATGGCCCATTTCCTCAGTGATTCGTCTATTTTTCTTGAAATATCTCAGGATGGTTGCATTATGAACGTGAAAAAAGAGTTGCCTAATTCTTTTTTGTCTCAAATTATAGTTTCATTTCATTCTATTTCTTAGCATTTTGAATTTTTTTACACTTAATCCTAACGGATAATTGTTCTTAACTAAGATTTTTCTCAACCTTTATAACTTGTGTTCCTGATGATTTACGTCCGTAAGACGCAAACTTCTTATTCTCATTGATTTAATTACGCCTACCTTAACATAATAAGTATGGTTAGAGAAGAAATTAAGAAGGATACTAGCATTTGTTTATTTTCCTATATACATCTCTACCCAGTTTGCTCCCTTCCTTACTATTGTCCTTTTCTAACTCCATAGTGAATTTAGTCTCTTTATCTACTCTATTCATTAGCCCATGGATGTAACCCAAAGACTTTGCCATGCTGCTTGACAGCAAAGTAATCATCCATATACCTGACTAATAATTTTGGAACTACGAGTGACTCTTGAAAAAGTCGGACTTTCAATTGAGCCATGTAGATATTAGCTGAAACAGGAGACAAACACAAATCCATAGCTAACCCTCCTGTTTGTTCGTATAATTTACCATTAAAGATAAAATATGTACTATTCATTATTAAATTCTTCAATCTTATGATTGACTCCTTGTTTAACTTATTTCATGCTATAATCTCTGGGTCTAGATCGAAGGTTAATCGTATGGCTCGTATTGTCTTACTAACCAATATATTCCTGTACATCGATACTACATCAAAACTTATTATCAAATATTCTTGTTATATTATTTCCTCATCTATTAACTTTATGAAGTTATAAGAATTTTTTATTAAATACTTCCAAAACCTGAGATTTCCTTAAATTTATTATAAACAAATCAGGATGTTTTATGCATCACACTACCCTTATTGCTCACAATGATCCTAATTGGGACCCCTTCTTTGTGGATTTTAGACAGACCCTATGCATTAGGTCTAGCGTCAAGTTGGAGAAGTGCATTCATTTTCCACTTTCCAATTCTCCACTATTTTTGGTAACTCTTAAGTTTCGACTTTAGTGTTTCTGTAGGCCTCTTAGTTGTAATTCTATACCTATCGAAATCAGTCAAAACCTGCATCATCCTTTCCATATAATGTGTCCTAGCCATAACATAAACTGCTCCTCTTTTATCTGCCCTCAAAACTACTTGCTCGTGCTGGTTATGTTTCTTATAGATAGTATTATCCCACCTATTCTTATATGGTGGTTCTACAGGTTATCAATTAAAGGAACAACTTGTATTTCAATCTCACTTCTAGTTTCTTCTGCTAGTCGGTCAGTAAATTGAATAACGTTCACCAAAATCT